AACCGGTTTTTTTTTACAGTTAAAAAACGGGAATTTTTCAAAAAAAAAAATTTCCTTATAGCCATTGGAAACCAAAAAAAACGGCTAGTTTGACTTTTCTTGACTTTTTGGCCCTTCTAAACACATATAAATACAAGCCATTTGCTCCATTTCCATTTTACACAAATTTCTACTTTATACTTCTATTTTCATAATCTTCCAACAAATGAGCTCCCAAAATTCTACCGCGGGTCAAGAGTCGGATGCAACGGTGGTTAAAATCTTACCAACCACTCGGAGTAAAGATGTGTGGGAACATTATGATTTGTGTTTGTTGTCGAACGGGAAAGAAAAAGCAAGGTGCAAGCAATGCGGGATGTTTTTGGGAAAAGATGGCAATAGTACGTTGTGGAGTCATACAACAAAAACGTGTCCGGTTGTAAAAGGTCAAGGCGATCCAGATCAACCAAATATTACTCCTGACGGTTCGATCTTTATTTACAACAATGATGACATTCGTGAAAGCTTTTGCAAGTTCGTCATTCAAGATGGCTTGGCTTTCAACCACTTCGACAACCCACGATTAACAAGGATTTTGCGGGAAAAAATGCAACCACAATACTGGCATGTAAGTCGCACTTCTCTTAGACGTGATGCTTTAAAGTATTGGGATATAGCCAAAAAAGATATGCAATTGAGATTTTTAAATATAAAAACCGGTGTTTCTTTAACTTGTGATGTTTGGTCCTCCACCGGAACTTGTCCCAAAAGCTATCTTGCCGTCACGGCACATTGGATAGATCCCTCTACTTGGGTAATAAACAAACGAGTTATTGCTTTTGAACTTTTTGCGCATCCTCACACGGGGGCATGATTATTTGCAATTTTAGTAAGCGTTACAGAGATTTATAATTTACGCGACAAAATCTTCTCTATTTCGTTTGACAATGCAAGTAACAATACCGCCGCCGCAAAAAGATTAATTGCAAAATATAAACCTATTTTGGATGGCTCGTTTTTTCATACTAGATGTGTTTGTCACATTATTAATCTTGCCGTACAAGATGGTTTAAAAATGATAGATTCGACGATTGAAAATTTCAAAACTGTGTTAACTAGAGTTTTTGGAAAAAATAAAGCTACAATGGAAAAATATCGAAAATTTGCCATTTCCATTAACGTAACTCCATATAGTCCTCATTGTGATGTTGACAGTAGATGGAGTTCAACATGCATGATGTTTGAAAGTTTGACACGTCAAATAATCGCTTTGCAATTATTTTACGACACAATTTCAAAAGGAAAAAACCCAGTTTCGGATTATGATTGGGATTTGATGGAAGAGTTTGTGGAAATATTAAAAGTTTTTAAACAATCAACCACTTTTTTATCGGGCGTGTATTACCCTACAAGTCCGTTGTTACTAAATGAATTATGGTTGATGTCCGCACAATTGGAGCGTTTTGAACAAAGAAGTGAAATATTTGTTTTGGTTACGAGACCAATGAGACAAAAACTAGTCAAGTATTTCAAAGAAATGCCACCACTTTTTACTTGCGCCGCGGCATTAAACCCTTGTATCAATCTTACGGGTGTAGAGGCTTTGATTACCAAAATTTCTATGTCTTTAAATTTGCACAAAGATGACTCAAACTATATCCGTAACCAAATACACACTTTTAATAATACTTTTACTAATTTGTTTGACATTTACGCTACAAAATATGGCAATATGTCAAACACTTTTGCAAGTGTAACCGACTCTACTAGTGGTGCATCGGGTAGTGGTGGGGTCGAACGGATTTTCATATCGACCTCTATAACTACCTTTTGGAGGAACAAAACAAAAGAGCACGTACATTAACCCCTAGTAGCGAACTTGGAATTTATATGGGGTCAAACTTTTTAAAATTCATGAGTGCACCACAATTTAAAATTTTGGATCTTTTGGCTTGGTGGAGAGAAAAGGAAGCGCAATTTCCTATTCTCTCTGTCATGGCCCGCGATTTACTAACCGTCCAAGCTTCCACAGTAGCTTCGGAATCCGCTTTTTCTTTTAGTGGTAGAGTTTTATCAAAGTTGAGGACGAATCTTACCCCGGTTGCGGTAGAGGTTTGCGTTTGCTTGAAGGATTACTTGGATTCGGTGGAACGTATACAACACTTGACATCACTAGAAGGCCCACTACCACAAAATGTTGAACCGGAGATCATGGATGAAGAATATGCACAAGGCTTATCAACACCTCCGGAAGATGAAGATGATGACGATGAAGACGAAGACGAAGATGAAGAATATGGTATTGATGAGACCCCTAGTTATTTGCGTGGCGGTTGAGGAATATTTTAGTGAAGGCGACACGAAGTGGAAGACCACAAAAACTATTTCTATTTGGCTAAATGTTATAACGCCACTTTATTATTATTATTATTATTAGTTAACTAGTTTGAAAACTCTTTCTAATTCGACGTTTGATGTATGTTTTAACTATTTTAATGAACCTATGTTGCATTTTGTGTTATATATGAGGTCCAAAAAATGTTTAAAAAAAAAAAGGCTAAATCGGATCGGATCCTAACCGGATCGGATTAAACCGATTCGGATTCGGGGGTCGAAAAACCGGTCAAATCCGGTTTGAAACCGGTTCGGATTTTGGGCTAATTCGGATTCGGTGTGACGTCATGAAACCGGATCGGATCCTGTGTTTGTGCATCTCTACATACAATCTCTAGCTAGATGATATTTTCCATTGCAATAGCCGCAATAAAAACCTGAATCTCCAACAAGCTTCTTCAAATATAATTTCACTTGAAACATTATTCTTCACAATACGGTCTCCATTCCTGCTTTGACCATCATAATTCATTGTCGAAGCATTTTTCTTTTATGTGTTACTCTTGAAATTTCCTTTCATTGGCTTCTTATAGAACTTCTTTGTATTGTTGTTCGAGTAATTAGCCACAGCTTCTCCATCAAAGTTTAGTAACATACCTTCTTCACCATCATCTTCGTCATCATCAGAAGCACCATCTTTGACATTCAAATTCAATAACATAGCCAAAGGACCTCCAAAAGCAATTTTATCCTTCTCTTTTTCTTCAACAATCTCTTCGACATCATCTTCATGAGCTTTTAAAATGTAATACAACGCAGACATATAATAGGAATCAAAATTATCATGAGTTTCAATCAACAAACTGATATTCTTCCACTTTTTTCTCAATCCTTGAATGAAAGTGATATTGAATTCCAATTCCATACGAACAATATTGTATTTACCCATTTTGTAAATCAGATCAATAAAACGATCATAATATAATTAAATTGACTTGTTCTCATTTTGCTTTAACTTAGACAACTCAGATAACATTTGAGTAACAGAACTCTTCTTAGTTCTCTCAGTTCCTTGAAACTCTTCTTTCAATTTGTTCTAGATTTTTTGAGCGGTAGTACAACCACGGATGTAGTTGTAAACTATAGGAGGCAATGCACCTCTTAATTCTCTCATATATCTCTTGTCATTTGCTTTACTTTTGGCTTTCACAACATTCATGCTTTATTTGTGTGTTGCATCTACGACTTCCTCAACAAATTATGCATGAAATGGAGGCTTCTTGATTGATCGCCATAAATCTTCATCGATTCCATTCAATTAGTCCTCCATTCGATCAGCCCATTGGTCGTAGTATTTTGGAAGGAGCATTAGAGTTTTTGTAGATGATCCGAGCAAATATGCATACTTCATTATTTTGTTTGCAATCAAATTTGCCATTGAAATGTTTAGAATGAAGAAAAGGGTCCAAATGAATTAAAATTAGATTGGACTAATTTCCTAACTATCGGTCAATTTTAATTTCAATTTCTGTGTCGCACACTGTTACGTTGAAACTTCGAAAAATCATAATTTATCCATACGAAGTCAGATTTAGGCGTTCTTTATACGTATGATTTCGCGTTTTTGATTACTACAACGTTTTATTAGATTATTTATCCTAAATAATCTTTTATTATATATTTTAGTCGCGGAACGACATACATAGAGAATCATAACTATGTCTAGCGATAAACGCGGACGTTACATCCGACTTGTCGTTGATCGCCTCCTCTCCCCCTTTCTCGACTACCGTCGCCTTGGCTATTCCGATAAACGATACTTTGAATCCGTCTTCATTCTTAAATTGGGGTTCAATTAGTATTTTGAAGGTGTAAGAGGGTTTTCGGTCCATTTCACTTACCATTTCACTTAGGCGATATTGGAGTTTCACTTAAGCAAAACAGGTGGTAGTTTTTGATTTGTATGACTTTTTGGCAGTGCATCTACTTTGATTTGAAGTAGGGTCAGGAACCATAATATCATCAGAGGGAAGGATGGGTGAAAATTAAAAGGAACGTCAAAGGGGATGTGGGACCAAATATTATTAGACATTTTTTCACTTGGTTAATGAAAAATAATTTTAAAAAAAAATGCAATATAGTCTTTTTAGGTGTGGTAAGATCAAACTTGTAATGAAACCAAACTATACGGATGGGCAGAGTTACAAAAAATTGTTCGGGCCAAACATATAGACTACCTCAAATCACATTGAGAGTTCGTTTAATTTACTCTAAAAAATAAAAAATTAATAAATAAAGTATATTAACAAAAGAAAATCCGCATAGCCGTCCATAAATATGACATCATCACTCAAATGTATTCTAAAAATGTATTTGTCATCTCGTTATCATCGACATAATATTATTAAATCATAATCCTTCATTTGTTCCTTTCGTCGTTTTCCAACCTTTCTACCAAAATATCATTCTTCTCAGCAACACGACATTCATAAAAATAACTTTTTTTTATTATCATAGTGCCAAGACTCGTCCCATAAGCAGGCGCAAGATCGCGTCACTGTTCATGCTTAAGGTTGAAGCTAACTAAGACTAATTAATTAGTTATACATATGACATTATAGCATCAAAAACCAACTCACATACATAGTTTCACTGCAAGTACTCTGAATTATTGATCAGATTCCTTAATGCAACTCCTTATAATTGCAAATGAAACCAAATGGGTTATTGTTGGTTTTATGTTACTTTCAGCAGATAATTACGCGGCAGAAGATACAATCTTATCACCACCAATGCCCTCGCCGTATGAGAAACCTTCTACTAAGATCAACCCAACAATGGCGATTATACTGGTGTGCCTTTTAAGTGCATTCTTCATGATTTGTGTAATCTCGACCTACTTCCGCCATTATACTGAACGACAACTCCGACTTGCAGGGAGTACACTAAACCTAAGTGAAACGGGGTCAATGAGATCGGTGGTGCATGGGCTTGATCCGGGGGTGATCGCCATATTCCCAAGCTTCTTGTATTCAAGTGTAAAAGGGATAAAGATAGGGCAGACGGTTCTTGAATGCGCTGTGTGCTTAAATGAGTTTCAAGACCATGAAACCCTACGTTTGCTACAAAAATGCAGCCACGTGTTTCACCAGGATTGTATTGACACGTGGCTGGCTTCACATGTCACATGTCCAGTGTGTAGAGCAAATCTAGTCTTGTTACCTGGCGAACTCGATCATGTGACTGAGTTGTTGCACTGCCCAGTTGACCCGGAGACAGATTATGCATCAACTGAATTTCTTCTTCCAATAGAGTTCAAACACAAGATACCTCCATCCACTGAAATGCCACGTTCACATTCAACGGGTCACTCGGTTATAACTCGGCCCATTGAAAATACTGAGAGATACACACTACGGTTACCAAACGAAGCACAGGGCCTTTTTGGGAACCTTGTAGCAAGCCTTCCCACAAGCCCTCATATGGCATTGCCGATGGAGAGTAGTGAAAAAATGAGCCTTCGAAGTATTAGTGTTGGTTCAGTTAGAAAATTGGATTACGTTCATCACGAGGTTTCTAAACATGAAAGACGAAGAGGCCAAACATCAAGGGGTGGTCCTAGTGATTCTCACATAGTTGATTGTTGAAATAACAAGACGAAAAATCAACAACTTTTAGATTCTTTATATAGCATTTGGTACATGTGACTCAACTCAAACTCTACTGGACTATGTGTCTATATTGTTCATGCCAAATGGTATAAAAAAAGGGTCTTTTTTTCCTTTTGTTCACGGTGTCCTATTACCAAACACAGTCTTAGATGATGAGTAAGGAAACCAATAAGTTGACGGTTCAAGTTTGGTTTGACACAAAAGATAGAGATTTAGATGTAGATTAGAAGGTGTTCTATCAAGACGAGTCATACATAAACATGATTGGGAACATTATTGGAAACATGTGTAGAAACAAGATAACTTCAAATATCTATATATTTATGCGTCCGTAATATCCTTCCTTTGAGATTCAAAATTAAGATTAGAAATTTCTGGTTTAAAGTTTTATGATGTGTAATTGGGAATACCAACAAGGTTGGGAAATAGTTTTCAGTTTTCACATATTTTAAGTTAATTTTTAATTTTGAACTTTTAATATTATGTAAATAAAATCATCCTTTACCCACCCCACATTGTTAATAATAACGTCCATTCATCCATTCACAATCAATATGACTTAGTCGTTAAGTCCTAGTCTCACTACTAGAAAACAGCCCTTTAATGACGCGCAAACAATGACACACGCTGATAGATGACACGCATTTGTGCATGCCCTAAAAAATAATGTCAGTTTTGCAAAATACGAAGGATAGAGGACACGCATTTGTGCCTGCCCCTAAAACTAATGTCAAAAAAGAAAAAAATGGAAATGCGGAGGGCGCCTTTCATAAAATGTGTGTCATCTAAGTGTGTCGCTTTATAATTTTTTAATGAAACACGCGTTTTAAGCGGGATTTCACCCGCCTATTGGATCCCAAAAATTAAAACCCCCGCCTCTTCCAATTAGCAAGAAAAGGCCCTAGGGCCTTCGTCTTCATAGCAAAATTGCTCTTGCTTTCGTGATCAAATGCCTCGCGACGACGATTGTTTTGATGTTTCCAATCTTTATCTCAGTGTTGTAAGCCACTATAGGGACTGGTGTTATGCATTTTCTTCACTCATTGACTCATACGCATTCTGCAATCAGGGAGCTGAACTCATGGAGTCGGCGATTGGGGGTCTACGACTCCTCACACTCAAAACGCCGGTGATTTTAAAGTTTTTTTGTCCCCAATATCAAAGAAGGACTAGGGCTTTTATGTTCTAGACCTCACAAGTGCGCACCTAAGAACTAGCGATTTTATATCAGCGTGTTCAGGCAGAACAACGATATCTACTCTTCCTCCTCGAAAGGTCAGTTCTGGGGTTTCGAAACTACAGGGCTCAAGTTAGAGGTTGAAGATCAGAAATCAAAGGTTGAAGGTCAGATTTGGGATTAGAAGTCGGAGGTTCATGGTCAGATTGGAAGCATCGGAAATTAGGAAACGAAAATGGAAGAGGCATCGGGTCTGAATATCATTCTCTTCTTCTCCATGTATGTACCCTAGGTTTCTTTCTCTTACTTTATCATTTTCTTATTTTAATTTGGGGCTCTCGGCATTCTCACATACGTCTCTCCTCTCATTCTACATGACCTTACACCAGCAATGTCACCAATCGCCATGGACGGTACCGGTAAGGTATATACACGCTTTTTCATTTTATATATTTCTTATGTAATATCAGAACTAATGGTTGATATATCACACACTTAATTTGTCTACTCATGAAGCTACTTTGGAGGGTATCGCCATGAACACGAATCAGTCTCTGTTAGGTCAGTTACTGATGCACGCCCACAAGGTGCTTGACATAATGTCTATGTTAGGTTTTTAAGTAGTTTCATAGTTGATGTTAAAGAATTCAAAACCTTATATAAACTTTGATCTTTTATTATACATTAGGTAACTTTCTTCCTTTCCAATATGCATGATTTTCAAGAATTACATCCCCTATCTATTAGAGGGGAAGAAAATCAAGGATGATTTCCTTAACACTTCAGTTCAAGATTTGGTAACTTACCTGAATCCAATGTTTCTTGCTTACATAGAAGGAACTGAAATCTTAGTTTTTCCAAATTAAATTTTGTGTATTACAGGGGACTGTTTTAGACACAGCCAAGTCAATGTCAGTCAAACGTGCATGGTCTTCTCCTATGGGAACATCAGGGAAAGACATTGCAATGCTGTTCATTGAAGATGCTTTATCAAATCTTGATGCACAACATGAATATGCAACTAACAGAGATAATGAATTAGAGATTGCTTCTTTACAAAAAGATGGAGGGTTATCTTTTTCACGAGTTAAAATAGAGGGAATGGTGGGAAGTTATCCTTTTGAAAACCTGAGATCAGCTATTGACATTCTGTTTCTTTGTGGAAGTTCAGATTTGGTTGTAGCAAAACAAGCAATTGTATCCTTCTGTGTTATATTGTTTTGTTTAATCTTTCTTGTTTTTTATGATATAGAAATATGTTTTGTATCTTCTTTAACTTAAAGCAGCTCTTATATACTCTACAAATCTCAGGATCTGCACAACTTACAGCTGTCCAATTACTTTGGGTGTACTTGATCATAGACACATTGGGTGCACTGGCACTAGCCACCGAACCACCAAACGATGGTCTAATGAAACGACAACCTGTCAAAAGAACCGACAGTTTCATCACCAAGACGATGTGGCGGAATATCACTGGCCAAAGTATTTACCAAATGGTTGTCCTCTTTGTTCTCAATTTGCTGGGAAACCAATCTTAAATCTACAAGGCCCAAATTCAACCGCCATTCTCAACACATTTATCTTCAACACCTTTGTCTTCTGTCAGGTTATTTATTCGTACATAACTTCTAACTAATGTGTGTGTGTGTGTGTTCTTTATCAGCTTATGATTGATATATGTGACATATTGAATTTTGTAGGTGTTTAATGAAATAAACAGCTGTGACATTGACAAGATTAATATTTTCCGTGGGATATTTAGTAGTTGGATTTTTGTGGGTGTGATGATATCGACGGTTGTATTTCAAGTAATAATAGTGGAGTTTCTTGGGACTTTTGCAATGTTGTAGGAATGAAATGTTAGAAATGGAAATTGAGTGACCAAAGCTGTTAGAAAGCTAAAACCAGACTGACTGAACTGTCGATTTGCATGTTGTATAATGTGTGTGTGTATATATATATATATATATATATATATATATATATATATATATATATATATATATATATATGTATATATATATATATATATACATACCAGGTATGAATATGATTAGATTTTCTAATACCATGATTATAATAAATTGATCTACAAAATGTTACTCATTAGTAAAAATATAAATGCAGGCCATGCCTGCAGAAAAGAGATGTACAATCTTACTAGCTATAGCTGATGCACCGAAAGCAAATGAGAAAATGATTTTACATGAAAATGAAGCTGATGTGGCAACTGCACAAGATGATGGATATGAATCATCATTAGTCTATCAGTTGGCTCTTAAGCCTGGGAAGGCAAGTCGTATTTTTAAATTTTTTGTCTTTATTGATTTTTGAATTCTTTTTTCATTTTTCATATTGTTTTTGTCGTATATTATAGGTCTCTAGTCTTGCAAAAGCAATTCGTGTGATTGCAAAAATGGAAGAGCCAATTGGTCAAGTGTTAAAGAGAACAGAGGTAAGAAATGAAATGTATTATTGTTTTTGTATTACTGTTGTTTGCTTTATTTTTTTATTAAATGACATGTATTATTGTTTTCTTTAATAATAATTGTTACATCCAGCTGTCAAATGGATTCATCTTAGAGAAAATGTCATCTCCTTTGGGTGTTCTACTTGTTATCTTTAAGTCACGACCTGAGGCACTAGTTCAGGTATACACATAGGAAGTTTTTTCTTAAATATTTTTTTAGAGTAATTTACATTTTTGGTCCCTAAGTATAGATGATTGTTTCAATTCTGTCCCCATAAGTTTTCTCTTTTAATTTTGGTACAGGTGGCTGGTGGTTTAGCTGGCGAGACACCTCACATGATAAGTGCAGCTGTTAAAGGCATAACTCCATTGAGTTATGAGTTTACTTATCTTGTATCCAATGCTTTTAGTGTTTTTCCATCCTCTTTTCTTCTTCTTCAAAGAACAAACAGAGAGATAATTAAAGTAAGTATTCTTTGTTATTATTTTTTTATATTAATTGTCTAATAATATGGTTGTTATTGGTGCAGGCAAATTTAGGTCTGATAAAGGTATTAGTTGCAAAATCAAAATCTATTATTCACGTGTATATATTTTCCTAATTGTATGGGAGTAAGTTAGGCAGCTATGATTAGCTGTGTATAGCATCTGTATATAAACAAATGTATACCTCGTTCATTGAATATACAAAAACCTTCAATTCATAGCCTCTGTTTCTCTGTTATGGTATCAGAGCACAGGATACCTATTTTGATTTCTTCTCTCTTTTATTTTTTTCTTCACTTTTGGGAAGCTATTTCCACCATGGCTGCCGCCACAAATCAGCAACTTCTTGCTGAAGCCCAAATTGCTTCAACCAATCTCAACTTTCAAATACCTTCGATTAGCATCAAATTGGACCGGGAAAATTAACCATTATGGCCCACCACCATTATTTCAGCCCTTGAGTGTTTTGATCTGGACTCATTTTGTTCTTAATCCTTCCCCACCACCAGAGACCGTTGTTCCCGCTGCTGTTCCCCCTGTTGTAGGCGAAGAAGATGAAGCAGAAGAAGGCGTAGTTCTTGCTAATGTGGCTCCGGTTCCCAACCCTGAGTTTGATGTCTGGAAAAAGAAGGATCGATTTGTCCCTATGTGGATGAAATCCACATTATCTGATTGTACTCTAGCCACTGTTGTTCGATCCACATCATCCCATCAGGCATGGAGAATCCTTGAATGTACTTTCCAAGCACAAAATCGTGCTCAACGCATGGCAATGAAGAATCAGTTACAGAATCTTTCAAAAGGATCTCTATCCATGCTTGACTATCTTGAAAGAAAGAGAAAAATAGCTGACTCTCTTGCTGAGAATTTAACTCCTGTTGCTGATGAAGACCTCATTGGGTATATTCTGAATGGACTTGATTCGCTCCTTTGTATCCGCCTTTCTCATGCATTCTGAAACAAGTATTGTGGATGATCTTGTTGGCTTACTGTTACGAGAAGAAGCTAGGCTAGATCAAGACCTTGCTCGACAAGCCATCACTCAACTTCCCCCACAGGTGTCCACTCCTATGTCCACTTTTCTGGTGGCTAATCAAGTTTCTCGTACTCACAACAACAATCGCCCTTCTTCCTCCTATCAAGGTAACAACTCCAACAACAGAGGAGCTGACAATCGTAGGCGCCGTCTTCAATGTCAGTTGTGCAATAAACCGGGCCATGAGGCCATTAATTGCTGGCAAAGAGATAACCAAATTGATTACCTATATCGTCGTCCACCCTCCTCGGCATAAGCCACGCTCACAAGCCAAACAGATCCCTCCTCTTTATTTTCGCCCTGCTGCCAACAATCAACACACAATGGTTACTCAGGCTCGTACCAACTATCTAAAACCAAAAGCTTTTCTTACAAACACCTCATCTCCACATATAGCTGAACCCCGCAACCTTCCCCAAGCTCTTCAAAATCCTTTTTGGTTTAATGCAATGAAAATTGAATTTGATGCTTTAGTGCGTAATAAGACCTGGATACTTGTTTCTTGTCCCAAAAATACTAATATTGTTGGTTGTAAGTGGATTTTCAGAATTAAACGACACTCGGATGGTACGATTGAAAGGTACAAGGACAGACTAGTTGCCAAGGGTTTCAGCCAAGAAGAAGGAGTTGATTTTTTCGAGACTTTTAGTCTGATGATTAAACCAACTACCATACGATTGGTAATATCTATTGCTCTCTCACAAAGGTGGACCATTCGTCAATTAGATATCAACAATGCGTTTTTAAATGGTGTGCTAATGGAGTGTTTATATGGAACAACCTCGTGGATTTGAGCATCCAAATCATCCACAAGCTGTCTGTAAACTCACCAAAGCATTGTATGGACTAAAACAGGCTCCTAGAGCCTGGTTTAATCAACTCAAACAACATCTTGTCACTCATGGGTTTCGTGCATGTCACTCTGATTCATCTCTGTTTGTTCACGTATCACCTATTGCTACCATCTATATCCTAGTATATGTTGATGATTTAATTATTACAGGCACCAATCCTAAACTTATACAACAACTCATCCAAGATCTCAATCAAACCTTTGCTTTAAAAGATCTTGGCACACTTACATATTTTCTTGGTGTTTAGATTACCAAGTCAACCACAGGTCTTAACCTTTCGCAGCAACAGTACATAAAATATATCCTGACTCGAAACAAGATGCTTGATTCAAAACCGGTGGCTACACCAGCAGACCCATCATCACCGCTTCAACTTCATGGTGACCCTTTTTCAGATCCAAAAGTTATACAGACAAACTGTTGGCTCACTTCAATATGCTACTATAACTAGACCAGTCATTGCCTTTGCTGTCAATCGTGTTTGTCAATTCATGCATGCTCCTACCACCCATCATTGGCAAGCTGTCAAGCGCATCTTAAGGTATCTGAATGGCACTTTGCAACATGGTCTTCACTTTACACCACACAAAGCTTCCAACCTTCTAGCATATTCCGATTCTGGATGGATATCCGAAAAGGATGATCGTCGCTCTCAATATGGATTTGCTAATTTTCATGGTCCAAATTTAATTAGTTGGACATCAACAAAGCAACGGGTTGTTGCTAGATCAAGAACATAGGCTGAATATCGAGCATTAGCTTATACTTAGCAGAGCTACTCTGGATCAAACATCTACTTCAAGACCTGCACATCAAACTCCCAAAATCACCTGTTATCCTCTGTGACAATGTTGGTGCAACATTCATGTGCAAAAATCCAGTTCTAAGTACTCGATCTAAACATATAGCTCTTGATTTCCACTTTGTAAGAGAACAAGTTGACAGTGGTGATCTTCAAGTCTGCCAAGTTTCTTCAGTTGACCAACTTGCTGATATTTTCACCAAGCCATTAGCCAAAGAACATATTGTTGCACTCACTTCCAAGCTTTAAGTTCGCCCCCCACTTGAGCTTGCCGGGGGGTTAATAATGTCCATTCATCCATTCACCAGTCAATATGACTTAGTCATTAAGTCGTAGTCTTTAGGATCTATTATTCATGTGTATATAGCTTCCTAATTGTATGGGAGTAAGTTTGGCAGTTATGATTAGCTGTGTATATCATCTGTATATAAACAAATGTATACCTCGTTCATTGAATATACAAAAACCTTTAATTCACAGCCTTTGTTTCTCTGTTAGTTAGAAAAATTGCAAATAATTGTAAGGGTCGAAGACCTGTTGTAATATGTTGAAGACTTAATGTTATTTTACAAGGCATAATTGTAACGAAGCTTAGATGTTTAGTCCTTGTAATTTTTTGTGTGCTTTTGTGTTTCCTATAAATAGGGACATTACTTAGAGCTAGATAAGAGTCTTTGTATGAACTTGTATATTTTCTCTCTGTAACATTTGAAAGCATAATAGAGCTGAAACCATATCATATTTACATCGTGTGTTCAAACTACATTCGTTTAACTCTGATTTGATTCTTACTTGATTCTACATTTCATCAATTAGTATCAGAGCATGAATCATAATCTGCGATCTGATTTTCACTCTGATTCAAAAGGTTTTTGAATCAAATTTTTGGTTCAAAAAGTTTCCGCACCTTTTGACGTGAAAAAGTTCTAGACGTGAAAAAGTTCTAGATCTTCAGTTGTGATTTGATTCTGCAACTGATTTGTTGAATCGAGTATTCTACTTGAGATTTCTGATTAATTCAGCAATTTGCTTTCAAATTCTCTTTGATTTCTCAAAAAATTTCTTCCGTACATCAATAGCGAACTTCAATCTCAACTCGATGACTTCATACTCTCATCTGCTAGGATCTTCAACTAAGATTCCTATGCTCATTCCGGAATACTATGATCAGTGGTCTGTTCGTATGCAAGATTACTTGAATGGACTCGATGAAGAGCTCTGGTCTTGCATCTCAGGGAATGTTACTCTTCCGACAAATCTTCAACCAATTGGATCTTCGTCTGGTACTACGTGGTGCATTGCCTCCAGTTGTATATAACTATGTCAGAAGTTGTACAACTGCAAAAGATATCTGGAATAATCTCAAAGAAAAGTTTCAAGGTAGCGAGAAGACGAAAATCAATTCTAGTTAATCACTGTTTGCTTGAAATGTTTGATTGAATTGAAGGATTTCAAGCAAAAAGATGGTGAAACGATTGAAAGTTACTATGATAGGTTGAATGAGTTGATTTACAAATGCAATCATTATGGAATCACGAGATCTGCTATGGAATTCAATCTCACCTTCGTTATGGGACTCCGTAAAGAATGGAGGAGTGTAAGCATGATGGTGAAAAATCAACAAAGTTTCGACACATCTTCTTTAAATGATTTGTACAATCAACTGAAAACTCACGAAAGTGAAGTGAACGAAATGGCAGAAGAGACGAAGCTTAGTCTAGGAGGTCCATTAGCGCTTGTCTTTAAAGTGTCTGAAAAGGAAGCAATCGAAAAAGGTGATTCTGATAATGAAGAGTGGTTTATCATGAATTCGGATGATGAGGCAATAGCTTTTTACTCAAACAACCGAGTCAAAAAGTTTTTCAAGAAACCGTTTAATCCAAAGGTGAAGCAAAGTGAGGGAAAAGGAAGTTTCGTGAACAAGGCTGCAGGAGAGGAGAAGAAGAAGTATGAGAAGAATGATGGGGAAAGTTGATGAGGAAAAGGAAGAGAAGAAACTGAAAGGAGATTCGGGTATGGATTGCCATTATTGCAACGGAGCAAATCATCTAGCAAATGATTGCATGCTTCGTAAGAAGGATGAGAAAAAGAATAGAGTAAAGGACGAAGCGTATTATGTGGAGAGATTGGAAGAGGTGCGTACGAAGGCGAAAAATTTGTCTTTGGTGGCTCAAGGTGAACAGGAGAATGATGGCACGTATCAAATTTGGTCTTCGGGATCCGATGATGAAGAAATGCGTAATCCTACGCATGGAGCCATGTATGCGAAGCTGGAGGAAGATTCGGACGAAGAGGTGACGGGCCGATGCTTTGTGTCAAAGTCTGCTGATAAGTCTCCAATGAAAACTAAGGTACGTAATATTCTTCAATCTTTCAATATTCCTTTGAGTGCATATGATTCTGAAATTGTTGCTTTTGATGATA